AAGGGGTATTGGGTTTTCTGGGTACAACGTGATCTGGGGGCCCGGCGTGGGCGCCTTGGCCCTGCAGGCTTCGCGGGGGGTGCGCCTGGGGCATGGGGGGTGTCGACTAGGGGTCCGTACTTAGGTGCTAACCCCTCATTTTCTGAGACTCGGATGCAAGACATTCGAGGTTCAGGCGGTTTTGTGTAGGCTTCGTATTTTGTGGACATGCACTTGGGATTTTGGGCTGAGGGTTCGGGAGTTCGGGAAGAAACCAAGGTTCAGCTTCTCGTTCTCCCGATCTGTTACAACACCGCGCACACGGTCTTTCAATTTCAACATTCGGCAGCCCGCAACCCCAGCAATGGCACCAGCTTTTCTCAGGATCGGGCACAGCTTCTCGACCAGCCTCCAGTCAGTGGAGAGCTGGGGCATATCTGCACTAAAGTAAGCACTAACCCTAAACCCTAAATGGGGGTAGGTACCCCCCCCAATTTTCCGAAACCCCCAAATCACGAAGAGCGCACCTCTGGTACTCCTGAGCCTTGGCGTGCTCCCGGCCAAGCCTCACTGGAACCACGGCGCGGCCCAACAACAAGGTGTGTTCGGAGGTTACAGCGGAGGGACTGCCTCGATTTTACTTCTGGGGTCTGCATCGATGCTTTAACAAGGGCGCCCGGCAACACTTGCAAGGTCTTCGACTTCATATCCGCTCTTGATGTTGCTGCGCCATGCAACCGTCACTGCCTCGAAGACTTGCGGTGTAGACTTCTTGGGCGTCAGCCGGAGGGCTCTGCCCAGTGAGCTTCGCTCGGTCCGTTCATCGACAGGCTCGCCTCACGCGCGGCTGCAGTTTCAAAAGTCCTCCAGCCATGTTCTGATGCTGCTGTCCAAATGAAAGCACATGAAGGGCTACAGCCTCGAAGACTTACGGCACTTCTGTTTACAGCATGCGCGCTTGCAGTGTGCGGCAGTTTCCTCGGCTCATTTCGCTCTCTTAAGGCAAGATCGTATCGACCTTGCCTGCCGGAAGATCTCGAGGCTTGCGCGTCGTCAAGTCCTCCGAAGGGCACGCGCCGTGCTTGCTTGGTGGCTGGCAGCAGCGATTCAAAAAGGTGCAAGACTTCTGCAGATCTCTGGCAACCTCTTTCTGTGATGGCCCACCCCTGCACCCTAAATCTCCAAGCCCCAACCTCCCGAGCATCGCCGGCAACCCCCTGCGCCGAGGCAGGTCCATGGCTCTGCACCTTTCGCAGGTTTGCTAGGTGCCATGAAACAGCGTGTACGTATGTGTCTATGTGTTATCTATGTATGTAGGCATGTAGGCAAGTAAGCAAGTAGGCATGTAGGCATGTATGTATGT